AGTAGTGGCACACAAAAAAACTTAAGCAGTAAAACGTAAGCAGTAAGCAAATTGACCAATCATAGTTATTGATTCTTCTTACGGCCCAAGAATCAACGACTGTGATTCTGTGATTTCTGTGATTTCTGTGTGGTCAATTTGCTTACTGCTTACGTCTTACTGCTTAAGTTTTTCTATGTGCCACCAGCTTAAACCAAGTCATTAGATACCCAGGACTCGCGCTCGTAGAGAAACAGAAACTATCAACTACGTAGATGATAATCAACAGCTTCTGTTTTTGTATCAATCCTAGGTGTTACAGTTTTATGCGTTTTTATACGTATTATACGTATTTTACCGTATAATGTAAAAAACCCTAGAAAATGCTCGAAAAACCTAACCTTGCTCTCGACTACTCTGGGGTGCGTTCGAAAACATCACCCGTGTGTATTTTGTCACACTCAGATCGTTCGAAAACCCCTAATGGGCACACTGACCATGCGACCATGGCCGTTCGAAAACCGTACTCCGTGGACCACTCGTGTGACTTTTTCTCCACTCTCTTTTGCGCGGTGTGAATCGGTGGAGATGGTGGAGAGTGCGCAAAGAGTGCAATACAGTATGAAATTACTAAATTATTTATGGTTTTTTGTTCTTCAAAACATTCGTACAACCATTAGTCATCACGGTAAGATAAAAAATTTAAATACAGCAGTGTAGGTTAGCCAGGTTTAGGTTTATTTCTATAGTGATGTATATTGTCAGAATATTGTCTTTAAATATAAATAAAGCTTATTAAGCTTTTTGTATTTTATAGGTTCTGAAATTTTCTTACGAGATACGAGGCACGTTAAAAGTCACGAATCAGTAACAATTTGTGAAAAAAAATGGAAAATTTAATCCCGGGTCGTCATATTTTATGCATGGATATTAAAAAAAATATACAAAAGGATGACAAGGGAAATGTCTATATATACGATGTTAAAGGTAAGGAGTAATAAATAAGTTTATAAATTTCCTTCGGCCTGGTGCCCACGATGCTAGAAATCGATCCGAGTTCTCGGACCGAGGAATATATAATCAATTAACTTTCCAGATAACTAAATTATAAATTAATAATTACTAAATTAATTAATTAATTAATTACTAAATTTATTAATTTATTATTATTTTGCTGAGAAGCAATTATAGCTAATGTCGAAATACGCTTTCGATCATTTTGTACAACATATGTAGGCACAACACACATGTAGTATGTCACATTGAGCATTCTTCCATGGCTGTTCGAAAACTCTTCTCGATACCAACTCCACTAACCCCACCAAGCCCATCCACCACAGCCACTTTCCGTCGTGGACTTTCAGTGTTTTCGAACGCACCCCTGGCTTGGTTTATATCGTGCACTTGATACGCGTATTAAATAGTAACTTTCTATTAGGGCTGCGTTCCGAAATGCACTGCCAGTACTGAAAATCTATAGTTCATGTTATATATATTATAGAATTTCAGTACTGGCAGTAAATTTCGGAACGCAGTCTAGATAATCTTAATATCGACGATGTATATAAATAACAGTATATTAAGCTGGTATAATACTGATCAAGAAGACTTATTGTATCGATTGAATGCGTCGTCGATTGATATGCATTGTCAATATTAAGATTATTTAATAGAAAGTTACTATACAGTACACGTATCAAGTGCATGATGTAAACCAAGCCGGGAGCGGTGCACTTGGACACGGTGCATTTGGACACAGCCAATCACAGCACCGTGTGATTAGAGACATTTGTAGGGTCCCTTGGAACAACGACTTGTGATTGGACTGTGTCCAATTGCACCGTGTCCAACTGATATACACCCAACCAAGCCACTGTGAACCAGACAAGGATAAGAGAGGAAACAAGGAACCTTTCTCTCATCCCGCACGCCTCAAGAGGCAGCGCGCGTTCTAGGTAGTATATATTTTAATGGTAGCAGCTGAAAAGAATCGACCTACGATATTTCAAGAAGCACAGTTACAAAGAAACAAATCAAAATACGATCTTGTGAAAATATTGTTTTTTAATTAATATAATGAAGTTATGATAGCAAATATTAAAGTAAAAATAAAAATAAAGGTCGTAGATAATGGAATCAGTATTTTGTAAATTTGTCTAATTTTAAATAACCATTCATATTAACATTGATAATTATTGTGAGAACATCTTTTGATAATACTAGTTATGACGTGGTGAGTAAGTAAAAGAAATATGTTACTTTGACATTAGATTATAGTAATATGTTAAATGACTTTTTTTAAATAGTTATATAACAGTTACTATTACTTTAATTCAAAATAAACATTTACTTAGAGAGACTGTGATCTTCACTGCCAATATTTAAAATTTATAATATACATAACATGAACTACAAATTTTTAATGCTGGCAATCAATTATGGAATGTAGCTTCAAACATTTGATTAAATAATTACTAATCATTTATCACAATATTGTTAGTAGACAAATTAATTGATTAGTCTGACTAAATAAATGGTTATTATTACTCTTGTGAATAATTATTTGCTCTTGAAACATTGCTTTATACAAAATTAACTAGTACAGTTAAGACAGTATTTATAATTTTTAGTCGCTATTACTTGACAATTATCGATTATTTAATTACATTTAGTTAAAGAGCTGATTAAAAAGTTCATTTCTAAACAGCTACTATGCAGAGGACAAGTTGCAATCAATAAATTAGTTATTAGTTGAACAGTTTATATCTTAAACAATTATTGCTTTTGTAAAATTATGAATTGGAAATATCAGTAATTGGAACTGTTCATTAATAATTATTTTGATAATTTATTTAAATTATTTTGATAATATTTTGAAAATTTGATAACAGCTACTAATGTTATTTTTTGATAACTGTTATTCAGTGACAGATAATAAAAAAACAACTATTATTATTAGATTATATAAAACATTTATAAAATCTATTTTGTGTATACAGGAACCCTTTAAAGAAAAACTACTTAACCCAGAGACCAACATCTGCGTCACCACTTTTATCCCATGCAGAAGATAAAGAATTAGATCTTGTTGTACAAAGACTTATATAGTATGTATCCTTAATATTAAATTGTAGTTGTTACAAACTCAGAAAGTTGCAACAATATTGTAATATTGCATATTATAGTGCAATATTGTAGAAGCATTGTAAACACATATATTTATAATATAATTGCAACAATGTACAGTAATATTTCATAAACATTGCAAAAATAACATAACATTTTTTAACTTGATTACTAGTTATTTTAATTACTAGTACTTTAAAGTAATTCAGTAATATTTTACATCATTGTTTATCTAATGCCAGTCTAAGGCCAAGTTCTACAACATCCGTTTAATTTTAACTACCGGTTAAGTCCAAATAGTGATTGGTTAATTCTGATTAACTCTTCTTAATGTCAAGTGCGATTGGTCAAGTCCAGTGGAATAACCAACTAGCTAAGTTAATTGGAGGTTGTGGAACTAAGTCTAAATGGCAGTCTTAATATTTGAATTTCTTTATAATATTCTTTGTAACATTGATAATTATTGTGAGAATATCTTTTGATAATTTAGTTATGACGTGATAAGTAAAAGAAATATGTTACTTTGAGACATTAGATTATAGTAATATGTTAAATGGTTTTTTCTAAATAGTTATATAACAGTTACTATTACCTTAATTTAAAATAAACATTTACTTAGAGAGAGAGAGACTGTGATCTTCATTGCCAGCACTTAAAATTTATAATATACATAACATGAACTACAGATTCATTCATTATTGAATAATTATTATTGAATTGTTTCTAATATTTACAAGAAGGTATGTTACACAATGTCTTTTGAACAATATAAGAGTATATTAGCATAATCTATAAATATTCCAGCAAACAGAATATAACTATTATATAACATAGACCCAATCGGAAGCAAATATTTTTTAAATGTTTTTAACATGTTTTTTTTTCATTTATTATTCATTTTCTCAACTTATTATAAAAAAATATTATAAAAAACTTATTATAAAAAAATATTTATATAACATTTATTTAATATTTTTTTGTTAAATATTCATTTGGAATAATGATTTTCAAAAAAATATTTTTTTCAACGTTTTTATAACATTTATTTAATATTTATATAATATTAATTTATCATTTGTAATAATTTTTTAATAAACAATTTTTAAACGTTTTTATATTTTTTAATGATTTATTTTTAATTAATTATTCGTTTGAAACAATGATTTTTGTAAACATCCTTTACACACACACACACACACACACACACACACACACACACACACACACACACACACACACACACACACACACAC